GCTGGAAACTTTAACACATTCACAATCTGGCTCCTGAATTCAAACAGTAAATATAACTGTACTTTGGGCCAAACTGCTGTCCTCAGTACTTGCAACTTTTTGCCTTAGCTGATGACGCGACTTTGCTTTCTTTTTTACCTGGAAGTGTTAAGAGAGTTACAACATTGCTAGCATTACCGGCCAAGGGTATGATTCAAAAGGCCCATTTAAGTAAGGATCAAACGTTTTCTGTTTTGGTCACGAACTTCAGTTACAGTCATGTCTATCAGTCTTGTCAAATTTGCAATCGAACCTTTCATCGTCATATCAAAGGTAAGTTGTTTTAGTGTCTCTGTTCAGTCTTCTTAGAGTTTCTTAAGGTTTAACATAGTCTTCTCCGTTTGTTTCATAAGTGCCCTCTCGATAAGAGCAGTCCTCTCAACTTCCCGTCGAAAAAAAACTTTTCTTTCATTTTTACCCATGAAAAGGGTTTAGGACACATATTTCAAAAATAGTTTGGTTTTTGTCCACTTCATCTTTTTTTACGTTGCCACAAGCCCACGTTGATTTTTGGCTTGACCACTCGTGTGTACAGCTGTGGATGGTGTAAATTTCACAGATTTTGTCGAGCGCGCTGCGATTACAAAAATATCCTTCACGGAATTCTAGATATATTCAGTCAGAAATTATTAAATTTCACCTGAAATATTTTTTAATACCAGCGTGATCAGACGAGACCTTTCTTTACGACCTTAATTTGCATATCAAATATTGACTAATTTTTTAAGGTAGAATTCCTAAAATCCGGGTATAAATCGGGCTAAGAAAGCATATCAGTGCATAGTTTATACACAAATGGGGTCACTGATTGCTTCAAACCCGCGGGTGTCTCTCTAGCTTACATCCAACAAAAATTTGAAAACAACGCAAATCAGTGTTTGCTCACTTGCACTCGTGTCGAAGCTCATTTGCATAATTCTGAAAATTGACAAAGATATCCTTTTGACCGTTTAAACTTCGTATGCTATCTCCTACATTGAGGATTTTAGGTTTTCATAACAGACCATACCAACTGAATGGAAAATAGATCCCGAGTTGTCCTAAAACGTAGTGATCAGGTCGTAACGTGGGCATGACTTACAAAGTAAACAAAGGTGATAGGAAGGCCACCTACTCGGTAATTTTCGTTTAATCAGGTCATAAACCAAGCAAAATGTGGAGAAGATCAAAATTGGGAATAAAATTTCGTACTCTGACCATTACAGACATACTGTGTAACTTAAAATGACACGCGAGACTAATTTACAAATCAACACGCATACACTCCGCAAGAATTCTTGCAGTTTCTTCCGAGATTAACCACACGAAACGGAACAAACTGGCCCTCCTTTCTGCTATTTTGTGTCCATCATTATTGATTTCATGCTGTTATGACTATAACGTTCTTGGGAGACACACTAAACATCACCTGGCGATAATCCTGAAACCCGGCTCGGTGTGTTGCGACGGAATTATGCTAATTTTTCCCCTGTGAAATGACTTGTTTCACGAAAGTGAAACCAAAAACTACTTAATGTAACAAAATTGGGGGTGCCCGGGTAATAACAGTCAAACCTCGATCATCCGGATTTCTCTCTTGTCCGGAGTGTTTTTTTTTTTCTGGTCTCAAATTTTTTCACGTATATTTATCAGTCACGATCAAGATCCGTAGCCATATACTTTTCAAAACTACAGCGTGGGTTTTCTTCGCCTTCAAAAAGCAATAGCAGCGCTCGCACGTGTAGTAATTAGAGAGGAACATTCGAATGAGGTCTGATTGGCTTAGAGTTGCTTTGTTACCATGGCTCACTTTTGTCGATATCAGAAATCGGTGAAGGTAAAAAGCAACTTTAAGAAATCTGCTGTTTTGAGGATTTTTTATCGATCTCAAATCTTTATAATCTAACAACTAACACGCTCCCAATTATGCTTAGTTTGCATAAACATGTTACCTTTAGACGTATTAATCTCCTCCATCTCGTAGACATACATTTCTTTCTTTGCTCCTCTAATATCTTTTTTGTCTCCTATCAAAGCTGCTTTCTGGCGGAACCAATAGTCTGGCGTCTTATTTCCGCCTTGAAATAAATAGAAGCAGCTACTTAGCTTTCTGACTTTCGTCCAAAACAACACGCAGAAAATGCTACTTAGAATCTTCTCCTCGTAGTTTAGAGAGAGTCCCAGTCAGAGACGAGTAAAGGTTGTGACACCGACACCAAACTTGCAAACCTTACTCAAAAGTGTTGAACAGAATTCTACTAGCGAGGGGAAGAACATCGACGTCATTGATATGGTCCCAAGTTTCAGGTCACGAATATTTATCAGTTACGATCAAGATCCGAAGCCATATACTTTTCAAAGGTACAGCGTGGGTTTTTTTCGCCTTCTAAAAGCAAAAGCAGCGCTCGCACGCGTGGTAACTAAAGAATAACATTCGAATAAGATCTGATTGGCTTAGAGTTGCTTTGTTATCATGGCTCACTTTTGTCGATATCAGAAATCGGTGAAGGTAAAAAGCAACTTTAAGAAATCTGCTGTCTTGAGGATTTTTTTTCGATCTCAAATCTTTATAATCTAACATCAACTAACTCGCTCTCAATTATGCATAGTTTGCATAGACATGTTACCTTTAGACGTATCAATCTCCTCCATCTTGGAGACATACATTTCTTTCTTTGCTCCTCTAATGTCTTCTTCGTCTCCCTCCTGGGGGAGCCAATAGTCTGGCATTTTCTTCCCGCCTTGAAATAAACAAAAGCAGCTACTTAACTTTCCGACTTTCGTCCAAAACAACATGCAGAAACTGCTACTTAGAATCTTCTTCTCATAGTTTAGAGAGGTTCTCAGTCAGAGAGGAGTAAAGGGTGTGACACCGACACCGAACTTGCAACTCTTATTCAAAACTATTGAACAGAATTCTACTTGCGAGGGGAAGAACATCGACGTCATTAATATGGTCCCAAGTTTGTCACGAATATTTATCAGTCACGATCGAGGTCCGTAGCCATATACTTTTCAAAGGTACAGCGTGGGTTCTTTTCGCTTTCAAAAAGCAAAAGCAGCGCTTGCGCGCACGCGTGGTAACTAAAGAACGGAACATTCCAATAAGACCTGATTGGCTTAGAGTTGCTTTGTTACCATGGCTCACTTTTGTCGATATCAGTTATCGATGATGGTAAAAAGCAACTTTAAGAAATCTGCTGTCTCGAGGATTATTTTTCGATCTCAAATTTTTACAATCTAACATCAACTACCGCGCTCTCAATTATGCATATTGCATAGACATGTTACCATTAGACGTATCAATCTCCTCCATTTCTTCCTTTGCTCCTCTCATATCTTCTTTGTCGTCTTTCGCCGCTTTTTTCTGGTTGATCCAGTAGTCTGTTTTCTTCTCTACGCCTTGAAATAAATAAAAGCAGCTACCAAGCTTTCCGACTTTCGTCCAAAACAACATGCAAAAAATGCTACTTAGAATCTTCTTCTGGTAGTTTAGAGAAAGTCCAAGTCAGAGAGGAGTAAAGGGTGTGACACCGACACCAAACTTGCTACTCTCATTCAAAATTGTTGAACAGAATTCTACTAGCGAGGGGAGGAACATCGACGTCATTAATGGTGCTAAGTTTCAGGTCACCAATATTCCTGTATCAGTTACGATCAAGATCCGTAGCCATGTACTTTTTAAAACTACAGATTGCATTTCTCCGCTCTCAAAAAGCAAAAGCAGCGCTCGCACGCTTGGTAACTAAGATAGAACATTCTAATGAGGTCTGACTGGCTTAGAGTCGCTTTGTTACCAAGTATGATCTCACACTCTATTGGCTCACTTTTGTCGATATCAGTAATCGGTGATGGTAAAAAGTAACTTTAAGAAATCTGCTGTCTTGAGGATTTTTTTTCGATCTCAAATCTTTATAATCTCAGTTACATTAACTAACACTCTCTCAATTATGCTTAGTTTGCATAGACATGTTACCTCTAGGCGGATCAATCTCCTCCATCTTGGGGACATACATTTCTTTCTTTGCTCCTCTAATATCTTTTTTGTCTTCTTCCGACGTTACTTTCTGTGTGAACCAGTAGTCTGTCATCTTCTGTACGCCTTGAAATAAATAAAAGCAGCTACTTAGCTTTCCAACTTTCGTCCAGAACAACATGCAAAAAATGCTACTTAGAATCTTCTTCTGGTAGTTTAGAGAAAGTCCTACAATCAGAGAGGAGAATCCATCAGAAGAATCCATCAGTACAAGATATACATTTAAAGGCATATATTCAAGGTATTTATAGTAGACGCGAAAAGGCGTCGAGTAACTGACAATCTCTCAATTTTAACTGTAGACTGCTGGTCTTAAAGGTAGCTGCTTTGATAACTCCCAATGAGTGGTTAATAATTATTTAAAGTAGAGTATTAATTTGTGATAGTCCGGAGCTTTTTACAATTGAGCTATTAAACTAATTGGAAATATTGCATTTGTTTAATCTTCTGCAATGATTCCGGCTGGAAAAGCGTGGTGGCCTAATGGTCATGGCGCCCTAGACATCCTCCAGGTGTGTAATTGGGTGAAGGCGAATTTAAAACGGGGAGAAACCATGTGATGGAATAGCATCCCATCCAGGGGAAAGGGAGAGTAGAAGTATTTCGTCGCTTAGGCTGTATGGGCTACTGGAATGGCTTGACGCAGACTTTTTTTTACTTCTAATACCTACATCTCCATGAACAGCACCGGTGTTTTGTTTTTGGGACGTCCCTCAGAGAAAAATTTCGTATTAAATTATTTAATTAAGTTGTGAATTTACAATCAATTTTTAATCATCAATATTCTTATTTATCTATTAATTTACTTCTATATTTTAAAAATTTATTATTTTTCGGTCATCCCGGGAATTCCGGGTATTCCGAGAATTTCGGTTCCGGTTCCGAATTCCGGCATTCTATATTTTCCAAACTACCATTAAATGCATGAGCACTCAAGCAGACCACCTATGTTCCAAAGAATACTTTATCACTGATTATGTTACAATTGTTATTAGATCACTACTCGCCACAGGTAAACATCTCTGACAAGTTTATGCAATCAAAACAATTACAGAATTTAAGATTGAAAACATGACAATGAGATAACTTGCAGAACGTTGTACTGAAAAATGTTATTATTGTCATACCACACAGGCTATAAAAAGAGCTTTGAGCATTCAGTGCTATCAAAAAAAGTGGATCGTATTTAACAGTATTATAATAGCTATACATTAGATTAGACATTGAAAAAGTAACTATGTAAGAATAGGCTAATTTGCGCTTGTAATTTGTGTGCATAAATTTTCTATACTGTACATCACGTGGATAACATAGAAATAAAGTCCTGGCATGGGTAGCAGAACGTAATCAAAGTATCAGTTCGGTTAACTGTTACGAGTCACCCTAATCATGGCCAGATTGAAATATACGATCAGTGCAAAGACTGCAATACATCGCATGCAAGACCGACGTATATCAAATTAACGTTAAAATAGTATTCTAGCTTCAATCTTTGAATCTCGGGTTGAGTTTGCATCATTTTTAATCGTAATAAAAAGGTCATGTTCTCTGATAGGGTAATTTTGCGCACTTGAGATTTTTAGCCACATTTTAGTGTTTTAAAAGTGAAGCTGTGTATATTCCTTTGTGTAACAAGCCATCCTTGCTCCAGCAAACGCAAAATTTTCGTTGAAGCATTATAGAACTATAATCATTATTATTGTTATTATTATTATTATTAGCTTGTGGAATGAGAGACATACCGAGAGTCATTTGATTTTATGAGATCACTGAAAAGAAGCACGTCATAGTCGAGGCGTCTGAATTACTAAACCTTAATCGAAATTCAAAGTTCGTAAGTGGCAGTCTGATTAATTTGGTCTTCTCCCTTTGAAAAAAAAGGCTATTCTCCTTTCATTTCAAGTTACTCTCTCCCATCTCATGAGGTTTTCCGTGAAGTGGTTTGTTAGGTACAATGGCTTGCACTATTTTACACCCTTTAATGCCAGCTGGTTCTTCAGTCGATCAAGATAACCTGCGTCGGGATAACCGCACCTAAGCAAATGAAAAAAAAAAAAAAAAAAAAAAAAAAAAAAAAAAAAAAAAACTGAAACCTCTTGATTAACTGTCATACAAGTACAATATTAATGGTCGCTAGTACGCATCTAAGCTTTTCCTCTCGTGTTTCTCTTGAGGTAACGCCTCTATTTTTCTCAAATCGTCAGTAAGGTGCGATGATTTTCGTCCACCCCACAGACTTATTGCGTATATTTTGCAGTTTGATTTGCAGACTAGGGCTCTATAGCGGAAGAGGAAGTATTTATGCTTGATAGTAACACTCGAGATGAAAAAGCATTCAATCGACAAGGGAAAAAAGTAATGGAAAAAAATCAAACAGACAATCGAAGAGGAAACCTATCATCTTTGTGATTTTGTTTTCATCTACGCTTCTCTAATATGACCAGACGAAGAACGTCGCAAAGTTGAGTCATCAATCAACATTCGCTAGATGAAGAAATAAACAAAGGTATCTTAGACTTACTTAAGAGGGCCACCACTTCGACTTGTTTTCAGTTCAACGTCATTAAACATAATGGTGTTGTCTAATCCGATGGTAAATAACAAGCGTGCATCAAACGCTCTTCTTAGCAGTTCACACAATTTTTGCCCCTCTCCGTTTCCAGGCAGATAGGTTGAGCAGAATAAACCCAAATAAGGAACCTCAGAATTTGGGTGCTCTTCACCTGGAATAGATATTTCATGTAGCTAAAAATTCCACTTTCTTATTTTTTTTAAGCAAAAGTATACATAAGAGATAAATGAATGGATAAATAGATATATGAACAACTAAATGAATATATCAAGAAACAATTAGGTAATCAAAATGTTTTCAATAATCTGAGAATGAGATAAGTCTGCTTCCTCTGTGCTAAAATTTAAATTGCCTTGACGAATCATGATACAGAACCATTAGCCTGTTTTTGCATATATATTTGGTGGAATAGCTCTGAAAAATCGCCTTGAGTTAACCGGTTTGCCAAATCGTGTCCTACGGAAGTTGAATCCTGTCTTTCAGAACTAGAAAGTTCATTCACAGGTCATAGCAAAAACCATACTAGCTACGAACCTTGAATTCCTCTGTCGAAGTTAAAACCAAGTACTATGGTTTCAAAGGTTTCGTACCCCGGGAGAGAGGGTCCTGAGTCTCTCCTACAAGTCATGTGTCCAGTCGGTTGATTTCCAAGGAATAGAACTTTCCGTCTGCAAATATAGCAGTAGATATCACATTCGCCGAGTAGCTTCTCTTTACATCCCTTGCAACACATGTAGTGTCTACACTGTAACTGGAAAAGTGGGACTGCAGTATAAAAGCAGGCGTGGCAGGTTTTTCCCTCCTCAATTAGGCCAAACGGCTGGTAATCTGAAATATGTAACAGGCAGATTGAAGTCTGAATAACTTGTGGCGTAAAGCCAGTTACGTTCTCATCAAATGTATGTTGCCACTTCAGGAATCAGAACTCGTGAAGTTTGGGTATAATAGCAGCAGTTGCAAATTTACGTAAATGTGTACGAATTATTATTCTGACTTAATTTGGATAATAGATTTACATAAATATCAAGAAATAAACCGAGAGAAAATGAAAGGGGAGATAAATTCACTGTTCAACCAATGAATCAATGAATGAATTAATCAATCAATGTACTAATCATTTATTCCACAAATCGATGGAACAATAACTGAATAACAGAATACCTTCTGATTTTCGTATTTTTTCTTTCACTTTCACCTGGAATGGACTTCCTTCGATAGGTTCATCTGCAACGTATACAGATACGTTGAAATCTCCAGCAGTTTGAGGTTTGTATGATATTGTGTAGCAGCCATTGTTTGAGTCTGTTATGTCGGCCTGTAGGGCTGTTCCCGTCTGCAATGATCTAATGTCAACAGTAACTTTGTCTATTTCACTGTGAGTTTTATTACCACATGAGTCTTTGGTGATGACTGTAAAAACACAATCATGGCCTTGAGTTCCCTCGGTGAGTCCCGCACCCTCTACCTCTGATAACGACGGTACAGTTTTGGAGCGTTGTAGACAAGATTTACAGAAGGTGTGGAGACATTTGAGTATTTTTGGCTCATTGACTTTATCAAACTGTTCTTGGCATACACAACATTCTAATTCTTTTTTGACATTATCTAAGAAACTTCGACACTGAGCAGCCATGGCTACCAAAACGAAGGTATGGTCTGACGCGGAAGTGTATATTTGTTCTCAGGCCACCTGGGCTGAACATGTGGAGTGATCATGGAAAGTAGGATTGGTCGGAGAGGGCTTTTTTAAATGAATTTGTTAACGTTAGGATATAGTTTTCGATCATGTTTTAGCCTCTCTCGGTAACGGAATCTTTTTGGAATTCTCGGAAATTATATACTCTTGTGTTTAGGTGCGGTAAGATTTTGTTATAAGCATTCAGCTTGCCTTTCTATTAGGAAAATCTACAGACTATGTGTCTCCTTCGTGAAATGAGACTACGTAATTTAATTCCTATGAAATCTAAGTTAATATTATTCAAAAGCGCGATATTACCATTCCTCACGTACTGTCACCTAGTGTGGCATTTTTGTAAAGCGAGTGACACTCGAAAGCTTGAAAGACTACAAGAAAGAGGACTTAGAGCGGTTTTCAAGGATAATAATTCTAGTTATGAACAACTATTAGAGAAGGCAGATCTGCCAACACTACTAAATAGTCGCTTACAGGATCTGTGCATACTTATGTATAAAGTAAAACATAAACTGTGCCCTGCATATATAAGTAACATCTTTAAAAAACCAAATAGTAATTACAATCTGCGGCAAGCAGATTTCTCTATACCTAGGTATGAGACAGTCACCTATGGCAAGCACTCTATTAGATATTTAGGGCCTAAGCTATGGACAAAACTACCCAAGAGTATCAGGGACGTCACAACCCTAACGTCGTTTAAAAGCAGGATACGCCAACTTAATATAAGTGAACTTTTAGATGATGGCTGCGCAGGCTGTAGCCTTTGTTCATTTTGACTTCTGTATGTTTTTACTATAAATCTCTTAATAAGTTAACTATAGATATTTTAGCTACTACTGTATTTAGTTTGTATATTCTCCCCTAATTGGTGTCCCCAAATTAGTAGGGGATTTGTTCCCTGGCTAGACGGTTTTTGACACTCTAATAAAGTTTCTACTACTACTACTACTAAATGCAGTTCTGTAATATTATTGGCTCAAAGCTCTGCCTACAATCAATTGTCCCTGCGGGGACCAAGTGGGAGAGAAACATACGGTGGCCCAGAAGGCTCAACGCAAACAAAAAATATACTGCAGCAAATAAAAAATATACTGCAGCAAATAAAAATATACTGCAGCAAATAAAAAAACCAGAACGCAAAGAAAAAAGTACCGCAGCAAAGAAAAAAATGCAACGCAAACAAAAAATACTGCAGCAAATAAAATATCCAATGCAAACGAAAAAAAAAAAAGAAAACGCAAACAAAGAAAATTGGAACGCAACGCCAAGGAAGACTGGGTAATAGTTCTTAGTTTCTCGCCAAAACAGCATGAACTGGAACTCGCTTTTGGCTATGGACGAAAGCGATCTGCGTAGGATTATAGGAGATTGCTTTCATCAAGGGTATGAAAATAGAGTTATTATCGATTTTTTTAAGGAGCAGCATGGTACTATCATAAGTTCGCTGCAAAACATGGTTTCGGAAAGGTGAACAAGCAAAGGATGGAACGAGTGTTGGCGGGAAACTAAGAACTATTACCCAGTCTTCCTTGACGTTGCGTTCCAATTTCTTTGTTTGAGTTCCAATTTTTTTGTTTGCGTTTTCTTTTTTTTTGTTTGCATTGCATATTTTATTTGCTGCAGTATTTTTTGTTTGCGTTGCATTTTTTATTTGCTGTGGTACTTTTTTTCTTTGCGTTTTGATTTTTTTATTTGCTGCAGTATATTTTTTATTTGCTGCAGTATATTTTTTGTTTGCGTTGAGCCTTCTGGGCCACCGTAGAAACATTTTAAGAACTGAACTTTCCAAGCTGTATCAGTGATATTCACCAAGCGTGTATTAAAAATACTCTTCTAAATTATGATTAAATAAAGTTAATTTATAAAATACTCTTCTTACAAGATATTAGGCGTCATTTCAATTGACTGAATCCATAATAAACAATAAAACAGTAAACTACTTGAAATTATTTAGATTTGATATGCAATAGAATTTAAGCCGCAGTTGACTTTCCCAGATTGTTCTGGACTCAAAGTAAAAACTCAACCCCTCACTCACTTTAGTCTAAACCTACACTATACTGTGATTAGAAATAAAACAATATCAGGAGGCTCCTGACAATATCTAAGTCCACAGTTAAGAGCAGCCATCGCGAAATATCGCCCAGAGGTGTGCAATATGAAAAGATCGGAAATCCCTAAACTTTACCAGAATATAGGTTTGGATAAGCTATTTCTAGAAAAAATACTGTGAGTTCCATAGCATTTTCATTTTGCGCGAACGGCGGCAAAATCGGTTTGGAGGCTCTCACGTCAGCTTTACGAGGTCTAGACAACCCATTATTTGAACTTCGTTCGAAAATAAACAAATCAAGAAATGTGACCATCGATTTTTTAAATGAAATGAACACGTATTTACGAACAGTTTGAAGTGTTATTTGTGCGATTCCATTGCGAACTAAATTTTTGGGCAATGTTTGTTTTTTTCAATATTTCACTCATTTTGGCGGACAAAAAATGGCAAAATTGCAGGAGAGGGTAAAATCGCACCCTGATACATGGTATGGGGTTATGTCGATTTAGTCCAGCGAAATGATAGGGCTTCTTCTTCAAATAACCCAATAAAATTTTTGGGCAACTTACACTAAAACATTTTAGGACCCCAAACAAAAGTGACAATATTGTCAAAACACGCCATTCCCTGTCACGCAATTGAAGGTGGAAAATCAACCCCGGCCATTTATTAAGTCAATACTGAGTGCTTGCGATAAAAATTGTTCTTATGTGTATATGTAACTTTGTTCCTATAAAAGATTCTGCTATGGTTGCAAAACTTGGACAAGTAAAAAGCACAAAGAATTCAGAGCTAAGACAACCGTGACAACTGCAGTCAATTCAATGATCCATTCCAGGATTTTTTGTAGGTAAGATTAATTTTATGCAGCTGCCTTTGCATGACTGGAATTGTGGTAAGATAGCACAATTTTGTATGGTAGAGCTTCCCGAAAGCAGACACTCTTTGGATGAGAAAGGATCTCTGCTTAGGAGGTTAAGGTGTAATGTTTGTAACTGGCTGGCTTTATAAGCCACATAATATAACTATATCAACTTCACTAATTTTTGTCCTAGAAGTATGAATTTAAGCCGTAAGTTTTACTGAAGCAGCACAGAAAAGTTATCGAAACCTGTTCATTTCAGTGAATTACATCATTTTGCATCAAGGAAACCCTAATCACAAGGGAATTATTTAGCAACTTAATCTTTCTAACAAGTAAATTACCTACTGGTGGATGAAATATCAGTTATTGATCATTTCTGTTGTTTTTTAATTTCAGAGTACAGGAAAACAGTGAAACATAGGCAAACCACAAAGAGGAAGCCACTGCAGCTACCTAAGTGCAAGGACAAACTTTGCTTTTTAAAATTTAATTCTACTTTAATTCTGTTTCCTATTGTTATGAAAAATTTGTATCCTATCACTTCTATGTGAACTGAAAGTACTTGTTGTCACTTCCTTTAGATACAGATTGAAGACTGAAGTAAATTAATGGCATTGTTTAAAACTTGGTCTTTCCTGAGTGACAATTTTTTTTAATTTCATGTAATGCATGCAATCTAGTCTAGATAGAGGTTGTTGCATAAACATATGAAGTATTGATCATTAAATCATTTGCCATTGGAAAATTGCTACAACTTAACACACAAAAGGGATAATCCTAGGCTGAGGATTGGGATACGCTTTTTTGATCTTCACCTACTTTCAACCTATTTTATAGCCACCTTATTCTGGATCCATAAACTGGAAGTGTTATTTGAAACCCTTTAACCCTGCATGACATATACATTAGGACCTATTTTAAATGTATTTATATCCTATTTTTCTAGATTTTTTTCCCTATTTTATCCCTGTTTTATGTCTATTTTATCCTTATTTTGTCTATTTTATCCCTGTTTTATGTCTATTTTATCCTTGTTTTGTCTATTTTATCTCTGTTTTGTCCATTTTATCCCTGTTTTATGTCTATTTTATAGGTATTTGATTCCTATTTTTTCAAGTTTTAATGCTATTTTAATACTATTTTATCAACGAATTGCATGCGCATTTTCTCTATTTTAAAGCTATTTTTACAGTAGTTATGACTTGCCAACTAGACTATGTTTTACTATTTTTAATTTCAAAATAATAGCAGTCAAATAGTTAAAAAACAGCTTTCAAATAGTCTGGAAAATAGAGAAAAAATACACAAAAAATAGGTAGAAAATAGTTTTAAAAAAGATATAAAATAGGCACTTTTTTCGTGAGGGTATGGTCAACTTTTGCCGTTTCTGCTGCTCAGGTTACCTGAAATTTAAAATTTTAGCGGTTATTTTGGAAACAAAGCAAAGCAAAATGCAAAATCGTCCTTTTCGAAGTAGCAGAGGACAGATACAAACCATAAAATCTACACGTTTGCCATATCTACACTTTGATTTGAGTACTGTTTATAAATTTGTACATACCATGCATTAGTGCAAAACTTGGATGGTGCCGTGAACTGCCCTCCTGAGTCTCGAAATATTTAGCAAGGATTGCGTGACAAGCGGACCCACAAGTCCTGAAGCACGCGACTTTAACACAAACACTAGCACTCTTTTGTTTGGGAACGTTGAATTATGCTTGAATGCTTTTTGGGGAAAATCTTCCCTTACTTCATCCTCCCTCCTCTTTTTAATTCACTAATCAGTTGACATAGTTTATTACAGGCTTCATCAAATACGTTTATCTGATCAATAGTCTGTAATTTTTTAACATCTTGATTGATAAGTGCAGGAATATGGCTTGTGTATTCGCTTGACAAGCCGCTGCAGTTAACTGCGCTCCGTTGCTCTCGAAATATTCGATCAGTAAGGATTACGTGACAGACGTAAAACAGCCTTCATACACCTTGAAAAAAGAGTAGTAGTCGTTACACCTTCTTTCTTTCTTTTTTTTGTTTTTCTTAAGTCTTAAAATTTACTGTCTGACTTTGAATGAAAAGAGAACAGGACTAATCATCGTAACTTCGGCGCATTTAATGACAATTTTAACGATGGGTCAGTTTAAAGTACAGGCGGCAATTCAGTGAATCCCTTATGAAAAAGGAATACTAGTAAAACACCTTGTAAGCTGTCACTAACTAGAAATTGGTATCACAATTATGAACATTCGAACATTTGCATACATTACTTCATACTGAAATAGATTTCATAGTAAGTTTGAGGCTCCAATACACGATATTGTCATACGTGACATCGAACTAATTGTTTTTTCTCGCTTTTTTTCCTGGCAGGCGAAATTCTTTATCTAATTCTTGGCTAACTTGATACAAGTTTTGATGGTGTTAACAAAAGCCAAAAAGTTTCATCAATAACTTCTTTCTTGTAGTTCACAATCAGGTTCTCTTTAGCTCAGCTTGAAAATTACCCGTCTGCATTACCGGAAACGGCCGGGGTTCGAATCCTCGTGGGATACAATTTTTCTTCTTCGTCTCACACTCGTGGCAAAATATTCCCTAACATTGTCTTCGATTTAAAATCATATCTCAAAATCAAGTGTGGTAGTAATGAAAGCATGTGACTGTCTATCCCATAATGTTCCACTAACTAAGCAAAAGTTCAATGATGCAGTAATGTAATGCTCTTGTCAGCAAGTTGTTTCTTTACCCGTTCAAGGTAGCTAGGATCTGGATAACCGCAACTGCAAAAAAACTTATACATATAAAATAAAAATAATAATAAAATGATAAATAAATTAATCAAAAATGAGTTTTCTTCACGATACCGTAGAATAGGGAAAACTCGAAACTCACTAGTGCGCATCTAGACGTTTTCCCATAATCAAGGAGACAACTGAAAGAAACTAACATAAGAAGCTATTGGTAAAAGAAAAATTAATACCAAGATCTCTTTTGGCAATATAGGCATGTATTATCTTTCTTTAAAGCGAGAGACTTGGCAAAATTTTAATGAAGACGACATCCGTTGCTTAAAATAGTTTGTGTAAAATGTCGTCGTTTCAATACTCTTAATCCTTGTACATGTTAACCAACTTTTTATTTATTTATTTTATTTTCTTAGCATGGGGGCTTGTGAGTGGGTTGGGTTTCAATTTTATTTACTTTTAGGGGACAGGGTAAGGTAATTTACCTAGTAGGGGACAACTTTTTCCTATTGTAAATTTACCTGCCTTTGGCAAATTGTTAAATAAATAAATAAATAAATAAATAAGAGATTAAATGCTGATTATTGTGGGGAATGAATTGTTTATTCCCAGAACAAGTAACGAGCATGCTTCAAAACTCCACGTTTAGCACGTGTAAATCAGTAACTATTATAGCTGGTAAAGCTAACTTACCAGGCTGGACCTCCAGCCCGACCTGTTTTCAGCTCGATACCGTTCCGCACAATCTTGTTATCCTCGCTGGTAGCAGGACATTTTCCAATGGTAAATATCAAACATCCATTAAATGCCCTTACCAACAGGTTACACACTTCTTTTCCAGTAACGTTGTCCGGAAGGTAGGCAGCGCACAAAAACTCACCGAAACGTTCTCCTGGATTCGGGTGCTCTGGGTCTACAATAAGCGTATGTGAAAACATGTCAATCATAAAAACTTTATCGAAGGAGAAAAAACTACAACTGAGTTACAACAAAGAAGAACCTATTCAAGCTGTGCCCCCGAAACGAATGTAGCTTTTTCCAGCTGTCATCAACGCATTTGATAAAATGAAGCGAAATAGTATATGGCGCGATAGTAGCGTTGGAGTGAAAACGTGAGAGAGGTTTGGGTCAAGTCGTATTCCGACTCAAAACTTTCTGAAGGATTTTGAGGGAATCACATGGTTTTGAGGGGGAACGGAAGGAAATCAGTCGTTGCCAACAGAGTGAAATGGTGATCGTAAGAATATAACAGAGCCCTATGAAGGGGGGAGGGGGTCGAGTAATTTTAACGCGAAAAAACCCAATCCTCCGACCCCCATCCCCCCAGGCGATAAAGAATGACCAGCTTTAAATGTGTATTTTGAACGTAATCGTTGAAGACAACCTCACTCTTAGTGATAATAATAATGAAAATAAGATATAAGTATGAGAGAGATCGCAATAATGAACACTATTTATTTAAGAGATAGTGAAAATAAGGCCTGAAAAAAATTCAGGCCTGTACGGGATTCGAAACCATGACCTCTACGATACCGGTGCAGTGCTCTACCAACTGAGCTAACAAATGACAATGATAATGACATTGATAACAATAATTTCAAACGATAATTCTAAATCAATGGTACCTTGAATTCCTCCTTGAAAATTAAAGGTCAAAACAATGGTTCCACATCCCTCGTAGCCCGGAAGTGATTTACGTGACTCAGTTCTCCAGGTCATATACCCAAGAGGCTGGTTTCTTGGTAACAGTTTTTCCTGTCTGAACTGTCGACGAATACTTTGGTTGGTATACGAATCATCACTGACTGCGTCAGTAGAGTGTTTTTTAGCAAGACGTTTGCCTACTTCCGTCACAACCAGACCAGGTAGAAATACATTAGTATTATCGCAAGTAATCCCTTTTCCTATCTTAACGTTACCAACGTTGGTGTCGTGCTCAATGTTCATGCGGGTATCAGCTTCAGCCTTTGGTTCTCCTTCTTCACTTGGAATCGCAAGAAAACGAATCGAAAGAATGGCTCTCCCTCTACCAATAGATGGTTTCGATTTGGTGGTCCTGTTTGTTTCTCTGGAACTTTTTGGTGCTGGAATTTTGTTATCTCCTGCGCACGACTCAAAGGATTTCCAAATTTGGTCGAGCGGATTGTTGCTGCCTGTACTTGGCTGGTCTCCCTGAGGAGATCTAGCCTCGTAATTTTCATTAAAATGGCCCTCGTGTGAATCCTCACTCCTTTTTTCTGAGGACAATGGCAACTTGTTGACATTAGAACTTATGTGGGAGGAGCTATGGGGCTTTCTCTCGGTGCGTTGTGCGCTTGTTTGAGTCGTCACTTGAGAGGTGTAATGTTTAAAAAACTCTTCATGAAAGACCTCGATTGTTTCTTCGTCAATAATGACGATGCGAATGTCACGAAGAGTGCTGAATTCGGCTTCAACGCTCGAACTGAATTCTTCCAATGCCTTAAACATCACTTGAGCACAGAGATCTTTTGGCATGCCAAAAGTACCAGAGCTGATGGGCGGTAATGCAATTGAACAGAGCTCTAATTGTGCTGCAAGGCAGAGACTTTCAATGCACGCACGGCGAAGAAGTGATAATGAGGCATCTGTCTTCGTCAAATCTATCCCACCTTGGACAAGCCGTGAGAATTACATATTTGCAAGGTAGGGTGCCAGCCTTTGTATAAACAGCGTCACCTATACTCAGTCGACGCCCATTTCGTTGTGCAATTATTCCTCTCGACTCATCATCTATTTGGCGGCCTCCTTTCCGCAATATCGCTGCTGCCACACCACCACCATACTGAAGCCACTCGTTGGTTCCATTGACAATAGCGTCCACGATCTCGTCAGTGATATCACTTTGGTACAAGGAGAGCTTCCCTCCATTCATCAGATCTCGACTAAGTTCTCGTGCTGAGGATCTGTTCTGACAACCTTTGTTACTCTTTTTACTTGTTTTTTCGCGTCTTACTTCTTTGCAATTACCTCTCAAAAATTGAGGGGTTTCCCTTAGGGCTACTACTGATGCGAAAAAATAAATGAATAGAGAAATAAGTAATTACAAAGAGCGATATTACTTGTGGCCCTAGTAAGCTTTAAAAATGTCCAAGTATTTACGATAACTGGAGCAGGGGGTAATTACCACCCACGTGTACCTCAGGACTAACCTGACAAAGGGAGATAGATAATTTAGTAGAACTCGCAACAAGTAATAGTTAGTTACCGGCGGATACAATGGAGGTTTCCATTTCTCGCGGGATGTTGTCTCTAACGGTTGGTTCTCTCACTTACAACTGGAATGGACTCCCTTTGACCGCTTCACCAGCAACAATTACAGACACGATAAAATCTCCTGCAGTTTCAGGTTTGTAGGATACTTTGTAGCAGCCATCTTTTGAGTCTGTTATGTTGACCTTCAAGGATGTTCCTGTCTGGGTCGATTTAATGTCAACAAAGACTTCGTCTATTTCACTGTGAGTGTTATTACCGTGTAGATCTTTTGTTATAACTATAAAATCGCAGTCACTGCCTTGAGTTCCTTCGGTTAGTCCCGTTCCCTCTGCCAGCGATAACGAAGGTACAGTTTTGGTTATCAACAACTTGCCTTGTGAATTTTTGAGGAACAATAAGTCATTTGGAACATAAATAACTTCAGAATAATTCAACTTCGTATTTACATCAGAAGGCTTAGAGAGTTCCTGAAATCGTTGCTCAAGTAATTCTTCCATGTTCAAAATCTCCGGCAGATTATTTCGTCCAAGTATGTCGTTACCAAATTCCAAACCGGTTTCTATATCCGTCAGGTTTTCGACCAGTTGGAATAAAGCGTTTGAAAATTTAGCCTCGAAAGCATCTTTTTGCCTGATGAGTTGTTCCGTCACGCTTGATTCGTGTTGTCGAATCAACGCTATGTTGCGTTCGGCGACTCGGTGCACTTCGTCTTTCGCTTTTTCGATGCTTTTGTTCACTCTGATCTTTTGGGCTTTTAGGAATTCTTTTTCCTCACGTAGTTTAGAGCCGTTCGCCAAAACGCTTCCCATTTTGGTCTCGATCTCTGATCTCTTCCTTTCCAATCCTTTGTCGATGGACACAAAGTTGTGATCTCGGTGTTCCAATATGGCGCAGTCACGACAAATGTATGTTACACATTGTTGACAATAAAATCTAACTTGGTGTTCGTGTTCTTTACAAACGCTGAGTTTACGAGCGTAATCTTGCGTGTCACTCGACACAAAATATCCAATTTCTTTGACGTGATGGCCTCTAAGCACCTTTAGCTTTTTATGAGCCATGGAGCATTCTTCACAAAGGAAGCAATTGCAATCCGAGCAATAAAACTTCAGCGACCTTCGTTGTTCGCAGTTTCCGCAATGTGGTGAGTCTTCTCGCCCCTTTCCGCGGTAAGCCTCGACAATTCCCACCATCTGCTTGTAAAATAGATTGGATGGAAGGCTGTTGATGTTGTTATTTGGACATTCGGTGATCTGTCGACATGTCGGACACCTTAAACGGCTTCCACCTTGTTGTCGTAACCAATGTTCTAGACAAGATTTACAGAAGGTGTGGAGACATTTGAGTACTTTTGGCTCGTTGACTTCATCAAACTGTTCTTGGCATACACAACATTCTAATTCTTTTTTGACATCATCGAAGAAACTTCGACACTGAGCAGCCATGGCTACTAAAACGCAGGTATGGTCTGACGCGGGAGTGTATATTCGAGCTCAGGCCACCTTGCCTGAACATGTGGAGTGATCATGGGAAGTAGATTGGTCAGAGAGGGCTTTTTTTAAATTATTTTGTTTATAGGCGGCAAGAATATAGTTTTCGATCATGTTTTAGCCTCTCTCGATCTTTCTTAGAATTCTCGGAAATTATATACTCTTGTGTCTAGGTGCAGTAAGATTGTGTTATAGGCTTTCAGCTTGCCTTTCTATCGGGAAAATCTACAAACTATGTGTCTCCTTCGTGAAATGCAGTTCTGTAATATTATTGGCTCAAAGCTCTGCCTACAATCAATTTCCCTGCGGGAACTAAGTGGGAAAGAAACATTTCAAGAACTGGACTTTCCAAACTGTATGAATGATATTCACCAAGCATATTCCTTTCTATAGACCCAACTATCAGGGGATGTTAAAATAATTTTTTTGCAAAGTATTACGCATCATTTCAATTAACCGAATCCACAATAAATCGTGAAGGTAGCAAAGTACATGAAACCGTCTAGATAGAAATACTCAATAGTATTTAAGCTACAGTTGACTTTCCCAGCTTGTTCTGTTTGTTTCCATTTACTTGAAAAAGGATCAGGCCTGATTTTAGACCGTAACTTAACTTAATAATTTGAATGAAGGTGTTGTTTTGAGTTTCGTTTTAATTACGGTTCACGCAGAGTTTTGCTATAACACACCACAAGAAGGAGAAAGAATATAAACTGAATCAGCTACAAGTTCACGATAGATGGCCTGAAACATGATTATATAGGAACTCTGGGCAAAGTAATGACTTCAAGTACCAAATCAACGTTTATTTCAGTTTAGTTTAAACTACACAAAACTGTGATAAAAATATCTAAACAAGCTTTCTTTGCCAGCATTATACGTCCGCCAAAAATTGGCAACAGACTGAGGAATCCGTCTGTGAAAAAGCTAAGTGAGCTGAAATATACGTACTTTCGCTGCTCACGTTCATAAGTATTTAAGTCTACTATCTGAATTTGGAGAGGGAACAGGAAAAATTATTTTAACTGAGGCGCACATATTGACAATCACACAATGAGTTTAATGTACAGGCGCTGAAATACAGAATAACTTTTGAAAAAGAATACTGAAAAACCCCTTATAAGCTGACACAAACTAGAAAATGGTATAACGACATTTGAACATCTGCATATGTTTTTCATTACTGAAGAGGTTCCCTTGGAACGGCACAAATTTGTATCAATACATAGTTCGTGAAATCTTTTTTCATGTTTTTGTCACCTTTAATTTCTGTCAGACAAGAGAAATTATTTGTCTAACCCTAGCATGAAACATGATTCGATGCGGTAGGAAAAAATGTTTTCTCATCTACAATTTAAATCATATTGAATTAAGTTTAGAACGACTTAGAGCACGTTATAGTCTTTTCCAGGATGTCCCATAAATTAAGCAAACTTTTATTCATGTAGTGTTGTAATTCCCTTGTCAGCAAGTTGTTTTATAACGCGATCAAGGTAACTGAAATCTGGATAGCCGAACCTGCAAAAATAGCCGATAAAGAATGAGCCTTTATACAACATAGCGGTGTTGAGTTTGTAACTTTATATAAAGCGAGAAAGACATTTAAATCGTCCAACTAACAATGCCATCTACGTTAATTTGAATAACGCGCTTGACAGTTGGACAAATAATTAATGCAGTGAAAATATTTAAATTGGTTTAAAAGTTATTGTTGATAGAAAACAAGAAAAAAGGTACCAGCTGTTCACTTTAGATTTCTAAGCGAACAGAACTTATCATACCGCAGGGGATAACTTAACTATGAACTCAGGGATGAAAATTCTTGATCTACTAGAAATTTGGAACTACGCGATGTGACGCACACCATTTCAAATTAACCTTCAACCCTTTTGGTCATCTACACTTTAAAGAAAAAGTGGGGGGAAAGTTTAGGTTTTATTGCCCTGAATATGCTAGGTCAGAGCTTAGGAAACCTGTGTCCACCCACCTTAAAGAAATGTATTCCTTAATCTGAAAGTCAGAGTCGAACTTGCTTCAAAATAGCTTGTTTTCGCGCTATTAAGTCGTTCATTAAATTGCTAAACTGCACCTCTGTATTTCCAGCACACTGCTTAGAAAGTTAGCGTTTTACCTTGTAGTTTGATTATTATGGTCTGAGTTCGATCATTATTGTTGGTAAGCTAACTTACTGAGTTGGTCCGCCGGTTCGCGCCGTTTTTAGTTCGATACCATTGCAGACAATTCTATTACTCTCGCCAGTAGCACTATCCTTTCCGATCGTAAATATCAATCTTCCATCAAATGCTCTTCTCAGCAGGTCGCACACCACTCTTCCAGATGGGTTGTCGGGAAGAAAGGCCGAGCAAAAACATTCCCCATAACGCTCTCCAGGATTCGGGTGCTCTGAAACTGATTAGGCGAATATGACAATAAATCGGGTGCAAAATTGGCGGATAAACCGACTTTAATAACAATAATCAACGCTACCTTGAATCCCCCCATTAAAGTTGAATGTTAGGACAATAGTTCCACATGCTTCGTAACCCTCCAGCGAATTATGCGATTCAGTCCGCCTAGTCATGTACCCAACAGGCTGGTTTCCTCTGAACTGCCTGTATTGTGGACAAGCATCTGACTTCTCAACATAGTAGCTAAAACAGGGCTTACAGTAGTGGTGGCCACAAGGTAATCCATCAACGAGATCTTCATGATGATTTGGGCGCATGGTGCAGCCTCGATCGCTCGTTTGAGGTGGTACTTCATCTGAAATGACAAGTAATTGAGAAGGCCCGCTTGAAAAGTATTCTGAATAATTATGTTTTGTTTGTGGTCTGGTGAACCATAAAAGCTGATTGCCGTAATGATATGACCACCTCGCCGATATTGCACGCCACGCATATTTCCTTAATGGCCTTTATTGATTGAGAATATTTTTAAGCTGGCTCAAACCTCGCTCATTTTTGGAAATATGTTCTCCTTTATAAACCGTTGCGTACTTAGAGAAATGTCGAAAACTGTTTGGGCTAGATCGTATAACATTTTACAAGTTTACCCGAAAAGTAGCTATGGCATTCGGAGCAGAAAAGCAATACAAAAATGAAAAGAAAAATAAAATCCAAAATAGTGCTTCTTACCTACGTTAGGTTGTCTTCCAGCTTCTCGATTATTAGGGCCCTCAATGACTGGTCTTTCTTGTACTTCTCGTGCACCACCTATGTTTGACGATTGGTCAGATTTCATTGCGTCTTGACGTGAGGCTATGTCACATGGTCCTTCGTCATTAAATGATTGGTCGTCCTCCACTTCCATTTTTGTGTCGTGCTGGTCATCCTCAGGTTTATAGTTGTCTGTAGTCTCAGCTTTTCCGGGTCGTTCACCGTCGTCGACCTCCACTTCCATTTCTGTTTCGTGGTAATCATCTTCAGGTTTATAGCTGTCTGTATTCTTAGCTTTTCCGGGTCGTTCACTACCGGTTAAAGACTTGTCGTTCGATCTGTTGCTATTCTCATTTGGGTCTGGAATGTTATCGTCAGATATCATTTTAGAAGCAGAGCCTTTTTCTTGGTTCGGGTTCACGCGTCCTTCAGGTGATTCTTCTTTGGTCTTGACTTTCTCCTCTGGACTGGTACGCGTTGGTTCTTGTTTTTCTTTTGGTGACATTTGATTTTCGGACTCGATTGTCTGTGATACGGTTTTCATGTCTTTTGATAAAGCCTCGCTGACTGGTTCAGAAGAGTATGTTTGGGCAAGACGTCTGCCTTCTTCTGGCATGGTAAGACCGGGCGGCAGTGTGCTACTATCATAGGTGATACCTCTTCCTATTCTTACAATATCATGTCCTGGGATCAACCGGGTATCTGCTTTCGAGTTAAGTTCCTCTCCCTTACCAAGTGTCTTGGAAAAAGAAGGCGCGAGACAGCCTCTCCCTCTTCCTAATGATGGTTTGCTGCGTGTATCTTTAGAAATCTTCGTTGTGAGAGGACCGTTTGAGCCTTTTTCGCTGTGTATGCCATTCGCTCTACTTTCCACTTTTGATGATTCAACTTCAGTTGGAGTAAGTAATTTGCTTTGGACATCTTCTTCTGAAGATTCAACAGCAGTGGAACTATGTTTAAGCGGATTGCTGTCGCCCATGCCTGATTGGACTTTTGGGGGTAATTTGACCTCTTCGTCTGATTTGGAATGGCTCTTTAAATGATCTTCTTCTCGCCTCTCTGAAGACAATGGCAGCAATGGCGCAATATGGCCTCTCCCTCTTCCGAATGATGGTTTCGTGCTTGTATCTTTAGAAATCTTCGTTGTGAGAGGAGCGTTTGAGTCTTTTTCGCTGTGTATGCCATCCGCTCTACTTTCCACGTTTGATGATTCAACTCCAGTTGGAGTAAGTAATTTGCTTTGATCACCTTCTGCTGAAGATTCAATAGCAGTGGAACTAGCTTCAAGCGGATTGCTGTCGCCCATGCTTATTTGGACTTTTGGAGGTAATTTGACCTCTTCATCTGGTTTGGAATGGCTCCTAAAATAATCGTCTTTTCCCCTTTCTGAAGACAATGGCAGCTTATCCAAATTTGAGCTAACGTCGGAGGAACTATCTGCCTCTTTATCACCACGCGCTTGTTTTGTTTGAGTCGTTTCTTGAGAGGTGTAACGATTCAAAAACTCTTTATGAAAGAAGCTGATCGTTTCGTCATCAATAATGACGATGCGAACGTCACAAAGAGTGTTGAGTTGGGTTTGAACGCTGGAACTGAATTCTTCCACTGCTTCAAACATTACTTGAGCGCAGATATCTTTTGGCATGCCAAAAATACCGGAACTGATGGGCGGTAGTGCAATTGAGCAGAGCCTCAATTGTGCTGCAAGGTTAAGACTTTGAATGCATGCGCGGTGAAGAAGAGCAACACACTTGCCTCTCTCAAAATGATTCCACCTTGGTCCAACTGTGTGTATTACAAATCTGCAAGGAAGGGTGCCAGCCTTTGTATAAACAGCGTCGCCTACATTTAGGGGCCGACCGTTTCTTTGTGAAATTATTCGTCTGGACTCTTCTTCGATCTGGCGACCACCTTTGCGCTCTATCGCTGCTGCAACACCTCCACCATGGCGAAGCCATTCGTTGGCTGCATTGACAATGGCGTGCGTGGTCTCTTCGGTTATATCACCTTGATATAAAGAGAGTGTAACTGCATTTTCCAGACCTTGGCTGAGCACACGTGTTGAGGATCCACTTCTCTGGGACATTCTGTTTTGGTTTGAATTTCTCTCATTGTTGCGGGGGTTTCTGCTGCTGCCTCTTGACAATTCAAGGGTTTTCCTTAAGGATTCTACCGCAACAGAAATGTCACTCTCTTCTGCATAGATCACTACCTTGTTTTCTTCCATCTCAATAGCCACATTATTTGCAGCTTCCATTGAGGTAATATCGCTCTCGGTGATAACTTTTTTATCATATGGAAATTTGAGTTCGATCACCTTCCGACGCACCTTGGGATAGAAGGCTTGGTAAAGGCTAATGAATGCATCGGATCCTTCTTGGTAACTACCACTGTGTTCAGCTGTTGTTGGATATATTTTTACTTGAGTTGATTCACTTTTCCAAACCATGTGCACGCCATACTTTTCTTTTATCTCTTGAAGTTCTGTCTTGTAAAGCTGTTCAAGAAGTTTCATGAACTGTGGCTGGACATCAAAGTAGCTGATCTCATTGGTGCTGGAATAATCTTCGCTTTCAAATGCTTCTGTAAAGCTGTGCTTACTTTGAGTAGTATCACCCCGGCGAGTAGTTTTATCTTTACTTTTGAAAATATCGCAAAGAACATCACCAGTAGCCTTAATCTGGTCGAACGTCCCCGCAAGAACACATTCTCCGGTAATAGAATCTTGGGGTCTTACATTCGCCTTATCTCTCAGTATTTCAAGCATATTCTGCGCCTCCTGTCTGGAAAGATGGAAACTATTGAGGCTAACACGTCCTTCAACTTTTTGAAACACCTGTGGGAAATATGAGAGATAATGTTCGTTGTATTAAGCCTAAATGATGCTACCGTATTTACTCGATAGTAACCTCAATTGAACGCCGTTTCCCATCCACCTAGTATTCCTATCTTTTTTTTCCTTCGCGTTTTTTGCCGAGTAGTTTTTTCTGGCCACTGTTCTAACCACAATAATGGTAAATGGTTGCTTGGCCCTTAGTTTATTTGATTTTAAAGTACTGCGATATCAATTACCGCGAATGTACAGAATCTGTATTAAACGTGAATTGTGCGTGTATATAAATGGTCTTAGACTATTCGTTGGTGCTCGGCCAAACAGTGCAAAGTAAACTTAATAGATTAATATTAGAGCTGTTTGTTGTGCAGTGAAGCCGAAATCTGAGTACTTAACACGACGATAAAAAGTGTCAAAAGCTGTTGTCAAGGACAGCGTGTGAAGGTTTACATGACTAGATCAACACAAGTATTAAAATTTGCCAACATTGCATAATATTTTCCCCTTAACCCATACATGTTACCTACCACTGGGGAATGTTCTGTAACAAGGCGCTCCACTTTTAATTCTTCACCCCTGAATGTATGAGACTGTTCCAAAACTTTTCCAACGACTATAAAAGATAGAAAATGCACAAACCAGCTAAACGATGCAGAAGAGAGAACATTTCTACGATGACCAACGTTTACCATCATAGCAAGTTCACTTCTTGCATCTAGAAGGACCATCACAAAAAATTACAGTTAAACATTGTGCAATTCGATACAGTCTTGAAGTTTAAAGATAAAGAAAACGATAAAGACAATGATAACACCGAAGACTTTAAGAGAAGCCAACTATGTTCATGATTATGTGTCACTATAAGTGTTAAAACACTTATTGTTTGTATGACGGTAGTGTAGGTATTCTTTCAGTGAGCTGAGAGACTCATATTAGTAGATACAGATGCACAAGAAACAACTAATCATTAATTTATTCGTTCCAGCCGCACTGGGACCATTTGGAACCTAAATAAGAGCTAATCTCAACCGTCTGATATTAAATCATGGCACCATTCCCGAATCGTACGCGACGTTACTAATTCCATAAGGTAACCACTATAAGTCTTATAATAGCTAGAAGTATATGTATTATAAGGAATAAGCATGACGCTGTAATCTAGTCTTGCATTACCATAATAGTATAATGAAGGAAGCATCATGAAAATCACGCAAATTTAAAATTTGTATAATTTCATCCAATCGTTTACTTAATTGTCCCCCTCATACTTGTTCCTCGATGCCAATAAATCTCATGCGAAAAAGCCCAATACAGGAAGGTAGTGTATTTGTCTCCTAAAAGTAATTTAGCAATTTTACCAATGAATCGAGTCGAACTGTAGGTGAAAGCGGAAGTGTTACGGCAGTGGCTAATCTAAGGGTCTATAAGCCAGAAATTGATGAAATAACAGGTTTAATCAAAACATGAGAATGCAAAAACCATTTTTATCGTCGAAGGTGATGACTGCGGTTCCTTTCTTGGGAATGAAAACAGTTTCAATTTCCCCTCCGCCATTCCTTTCCTTTTGAAAATGAATAATGATATCTCCATACACATCCTTGTCTGCAGTCTTAAGCGGTATCTTCGACACTACGATGCTCTTTGTCGCTTTATCTTTTTGAAGGAGTTCGATATTTGGTTCTTTAGATAGGCATTGTTCTAAATTAACAAGCATTTTGGAAAAATAACCATCCAGTAATCTGTCCGACTCAACTTGTTCGCTTTCGTTTCCCAGAAAAGCACAAGAGTGAGACTGGGATCAAGTTTCATGAGCAAAAGCAATGAACCAATGGTTACCAATGGTAATAATTGAAGAGGGGACCTAGGTTAGGGAAGTTCATGTGCCTCACTTGTTTACAGGGAAATTTCCAGGAAAAAATTTCACCAAATTATTGAAAACTATTCTGGTTTCGAAAGAGAGCAGGGATGGCGCAGTGGTGAGAGCACTCGCCTCCCACCACTGTGGCCCGGGTTCGATTCCCGGACCTGGCGTCACATGTGGGTTGAGTTTGTTGTTGGTTCTCGTCCTTGCTCCGAGGGTTTTTCTCCGGGTCCTCCGGTTTTCCTCCCTCCGCAAAAACCAACATTCCAAATTCCAATTCGATCTGGAAACAGCGGACAAGAATAGCCACCCAGTGGATGTCCATTGTTAAATCATTATCATTATTTTCCATTTGAATTAGTGGCACGGACTGAAACGTCACAGGGGATTCCTAGAAAGCATAACACTTCCGCTTTCGTTTTCGGAGAATTCAGTCTCGCTGTGAACAGAAGCTGTACTTCGTCACTTGGACCAAAATGGCCGAAAAATTCAAAGAAAACGAGGGAGCTACTGGTGGTACAGACATATCCTGGGTGGAAGACGATATATACATCGATCCACAATACGCTTGTAGTAGCATTTGTGTAACAGGTTTTCCAAAGGCAACGAGCCCTGAAACACTAATTATTCATTTTCAACGCAAGAAGAACGGCGGTGGTGATATCATTGCCGTCAAAATGAATAGGCAGGGAGCTGCAGTGATAACATTTGATAGTCCTGAAGGTAAGGACACTTTAAGACACCTTTGGTTAACGTAATTTAAGAACAGACTTATTGAATATATATAGATACAGTTCCAAACAATGTCTTTGGTAATGTTGTATTCATTTTGATAAGTAATATTCGAAGTAATGCAAGATGACAAATATAGCGCGAGTCAATGCGGTTATGGTTTCGAAATATAAATGACACTAAAATAAAATGATATCGCTTTTGAATTAACTCAGATTTTGAAACCTCATGTGGTAAATCCATAACGAGTGATGAAAATCTTGATTAAACGGTTCAGTTTCACCGACGTAGAGGTGAATAGTTATGTTATTTACTGGTTCATTTATACCGAGCCACACACGCTGAACAACTAGCAGATAATCAATTTCTTTCAGACAATGTGAGAAACGATGAGAAATGAATCAGTGGAAATCTCTTCCTACTATCTGCAGTAGTGACAAAACTCACGTGATCCTAAAAGGAAGAAAAATAAATTATTTTAGACCGTGTGGATATAATGATGTTCAGCTAATGAAAACCCTCGTATAACTAGGGCACAGCTAAATCTATTTATGAAAATATAGAAATTTAGGATCTCCTTACAACAATGATAATGCGAATTGTCAGTGAAATTTTTAGGTAGTTAAGTGAATGTCGATTACATTAACATATGACAAAGAATGACTCGACATTCATGCAGAGAAATTACTACTAGCTAATTCACATGACCATAACTTTGTGACCAAGAGGAGTTTGAGTAAATACCATTATGATAAAACAATTAAGTTAATATTAATTGTTATGCATCAGAGTCACTGACATAATTTTGATTGGCTACACTATGTTCAGCCATTTCTTTTAGGTCACTATAACCACCAACAATAGTTACTTACATGGAGAACAGTTTTTATGGTATATGCAGAATTAAGTGTCTTCCCAAGTGTACGACGATATGCACAACAATAGGTGTTGATAATGCTATTATATGGGTGCATGAGGAATTCCTTTTTTTAACTCATAATTGGCTCTGAGGAAATCATCAGATGCACACATTAATATAGAAATACAATACATGCAAACTTGATTTATATATTGTATTAAATTGATAGCCATTAATTCCTTCCATATATCCTCAAACTGATATATTGTGCAGTTAAAGTATCAATGACATTTCATGTATAATTTCACACATGTCATATGAATTTAATATCAAAACTGAATTAGCATCACATGTGCATGCAAAATTGTTTGCAAAAAAGTATCTTTGATAAACTTAATTTAGCTGGCTGACTCAATCATTGAGTCATCAGTGCAATTACAATTTGATTAAAAAGGATTTAAGTAAAATGCAAACACATGCAATCTGCACTTTCAAGCTCAAATGATTAATATATTTGTATTAAAGTTTCTCAATTAATCAATTTGAATTATTTTTTCTTTTTAATGTTGGTGTAAATTGATTGATTGAGGAGGTGAAATTGGTTGAAATAAGGTTGATTAACTAAAAGTTTATGCAGCCATATTCATATGAATTTAAGTTTTTGTGCTAGTATTCATTCCATTGACTGAGTCCGATGAACTTGGCTGAAGGATGGCCAGTTTTGTGATGGAATCATAAAGAGTTATTTTTGTTAATTAAAAGTCAATGGAAAGGAAAATCTAGTCTCTAATTAATTAAATGATCATTACTTCAATCTGTTTTATTGAGAACAATAGGAAGTGAACACCCTAATGAGGCCCGCATATCCCGTCACCTTTTCAAAATTTTAATGTGTAACAAGACGGAATGAGCGGTCGCGCAAGAACGAGAGGGATTCAAGGAATATACCTCTAAAATACTTTATTGAAGCCAAACTGAACCTAAGTAACGAAAATAATAAAAGAAAAGTGGAAAAATGAATAAATGAATAAACGGGAAGAACTAGCAAAATACAGTACCCTTGAACAGAGAAAGTCTTCGTCTCCTTACAAGTGATCCAATGTAACTCAAAATAACTAACTGAAGAACTACCTAAAACAGCCTCTATTTATGTGAAATGAACAAGCATAGAACAACATTCTTAAGGTTCTACAACTTGTTGCCAAAACTTCACCTTTCCGAATTGCAGCACGCAGTAAAGGGTGTCCTGTACTTGTTTCGCTATCGAAATGTGAGCATTATATCAAAACAAACAAGATAATTTTGCCGAAAGGAAATTAGTTGAAACGGTGCCTGAGAAATCACGTCTCACAAATAGGTGTCAACTTGCACATATCTGTTTAACACCATGATATACTACATTCCAAAACGATCACTAGGTCGCATCCTAAAAGTAGAAAAATTATTATGATAAAATATAGAAAAATACTGAAATTTAAGAGCCTCTAGTTTATTCCAAAATATGTGTCTAGTGACTCTGTCACACATGTATAGTTGTAATGCTTAAATGCAGGCTGGACCTGCAACGTTAAATTTTATTAAGTTAGTATCTTGTAGGACTACAAATCAAGGTCACCACCCCAGTAGTACACCATTTGTGAGAATCAATATAATATCAGTCCACAAATATACTTTGTATGAGAAAATATACAACATTTATTAAAGCTGTGTCTGACCCAGCAGAGATAACTTCATACACCTTGACCTGTACCAACCATTAAGCTTTCCTGAAATCAGGAAGGTTTAAAAATGTGCCTTTTGTAGACCTAATGTGTATGATTGCATGATGGTGAGCATCTGACTTTCCTTCAAGCTTAGTTTGGGCATATTTAGAATGCATTAAGGGACCTCTCATCTAGCTGTATTATGTAGAAATCTCTTTGACAATAAAGTTGTAATATAAGTTGATCAGCTGTTGTGGCTGGCAAATTGTGTGCTTTAAGGAAGGGGTACACAGAAAGGCCTAAGTGACACTTTGTCACTTGAATTTGATCTTGAGTCAAAAAGCATTTCCTGAGAAAGGTATTCTCATCTGATATTTGCTGGCTGGGGGCTGTTGGAATCAGAAGCAAGGATTTATTTCAATAGTCCTTCCACGGGTGAGGCAGTAATGAACCATTCTGAGAGTTGAATGTAAAAATTAGGAGCTTAGGCCTGAAGATAATGATTGCATCAACGAGGTTGCATGTGACCATGCATGTAGGACTTCATGTTGCATGAGTTCCAGGTGTCAGGGTAGCATGCAATGTTGGTTTGCAAATATATAGCCATTTATTATCCCTAACATTTTTCCACTTCTTGTTCTGGCGGTCCTTTTGGAGGCTTTGATTTGCCCACCTAATGTTTTTGCTTGAGGCTGGATGCTAAAAGTGCAAGGGGGTCAGAGTCTACCTAGCCCAGTAAAAGATAGCTAAGGTTGCCAGCAGCCATGTCCTTGCAAAGCTTAGGAGTGGATAGGATAGGATAGGATTTTAAGTCTTCTAACACTTGGAGTTTGACCTTTAGTTGAAAGGGGTCTCTTGTTAAGAACCTCTTCCCTAGCTTACTCGTACTCTGACTTTGTTAAAAAATAAGGGAATGCCATTTAGGTTTAGGCCCTACCATAAGTCTCATGGCAGCTACCTAATATGCTCCTGTGGGTGTAGGTTGGTTGAGTCTCAAGAGCTGAAGCTGGAAAGGGGTCATACTCAGGCTAGATGCAATTCCCATGAGCCTTTGAGTTGAGTTTCTGAAAAGAAACTCAACAGTTTGCATTACTTTGGAATTCAAATATTAAAGTAGAGACTTAATGTAGGGAAGCCTGGAGCTTAAGTTAAAGGTAATTTAACCTTTGATTCCCAGGATGTGATTGTTAATTCTCCACTCTAGCTGCCATAATTAACAAATGGTAAACACCACAGCGTACACTATTGAGTTATGGATGCACGCAGGAGGTTGCTAAGCACGAAAGAAGCGTAAGAGTCGCTCGAGGCGAAAGCCGAGAGCGACTCTAGCTTCTTGAGTGCTTAGCAAACCTCCCAAGTGCATCCATAACTCAATAGTGTACGCTGTGGTGTTTACCATTTGTTTTATAACATTACATTGATACATTGTAGCTAAAGAGTTCCCTTTTATTTAACAAATTTTACGCGACCAGAAAAAACAAGCGCGCGCGGAAAAATAGTCTTTGCATTTGCTCACGTCAGCAACGTACACCCATGGGCAAATGGGGGACGCTAAATTGACCAATCAGAGCGCGCGCTTTACTTTGGTTATGTTATAAATTTCCTTGTAAATTAGTTACAAGAATTTGGTGTTAGATCAAGATAACAACTTGTACCTGATAAGTTTGAGTATTCTCATTACCTGTTTGCTGGATCATGTATGGATATTATAGGGAGAACCTACATGTTCATCACTTCTGGGAGTTAAAGGGTTAACAATGAAAACATAGAGCAATCATTGGAATTTAGCAAAATAAGATTGCTCCCCATTGTACTGGCCTAAGGTTGCATTAGTGGCTTAAAGTACGAATTTTGAAATTTTTTACTTCAACACTTTAGATTGATAAATCTACCTTACTGAAAAAAAAATATCCAATTCTAGCTATATGTGTATTTAGTATATACCACACAAGTGAAGAGTGCTTTTTGTGTGTGCTGATTGGCTAGTTCGGAAGTGAATTCACCTCCGAGCAGCCGGTGAGACAAAATCGTGCGTTTAACTTCCGACCATTTCTTGGTATGTTGATAGAGATAAACTAATTTTCGGTGGTCTATACTAAACCAGTTATTCACCTCTACTTCGGTAAATAATTGTTGCCCAAAGGCCTTGACTGCTTTGAAGAAGTCTTGATGAGCTGCTTTATAATTTTCTCTCGCTGCTTGTCTTTATAGTGTCTGTCAACTATACTTTTCTGTTGTTTGCACAAGAATGATTATTCCTAAATGTCACTGTCACATTGGGGTTATACTGAAGCGAGAAGCGAATTTACAAAATTCAAAGCTCGTAAGCGCGGGATAAAATGAAAATTTCTTACCTTCATTTCGTTTTTTCGTGTTATTTTTTGGAGGATATAAGTGCAATTTCATCAACTTTTTACTTTAAGATACCTCACTCACGACGAATTACGATCTTTTCGTCCAAAAGTCTTTACGTCCAAGTCTTTTCGTCCAAAATTTTTTTTATCTAAGTCTGTTCGACTAATTGTCAAGTCTTTTCTCGAAGCAAATAAATAACGTTTAGAAAGTTATATAAAGAACTTGTTAGTGCGAGCCATTGCCATTTTGGTTCCGATAGCTTTAGTCACCAATCCTCGTTTACGAATTCAACGTCATGAAGTACGATAGATACGCAGAGAAGATGCTTATTTGGGGTTCTTTTTGGTTTAGTTTTATTACTTTATCATGTTGGACTATGTTGTTGGTTGTGTCGGACATTTAGTGGTGTTACACTTAGTTGTTTATTACGCCTAACAGACACTTCACAACAAGCCTAATATTCCCATTTCTTTTGCGCGAAATAATTAAACGGCATGTCTTTATTTTTGTCACTAACTAATAAAATATATTGCGTTAAACTTCATTTAAAACAATGTTGTAACTTTCACGAAAAGACTTGATATTGGACGAATGGACCAAGACTTAGACGAAAAGACTCGTGGACGAAAAGACCGGATACCGTCACGACTCCTGACTGGCAATAAGAACTGACGCTACCGGACCATGCAAGTACATTCAATTTTTCACATTAGATCTCTCCATAGATATTATTCATTCGTCTGATTGCTAAAGAAATAAATAAAATAATTGAAGTAATAATTCGCCTCGTCTTTAAAGTCGTATAATCCTAGGTTAAAACTCTCTCGTCTATTTATGTTCTAAGAAATAATTAAGAGTGGCAAGTTAAGATGTGTTTTTGATATTCATTTTTTTGTCTTTAGTTGCGAAGGGTGTGCAAGAACGGGAGCAAAAGCTAAATCGTGAAGTTGTCTTAGTTGTGAAGCCGTACAACGCTGAGGTATTTCTTAGCAACAGCTTAACACCTATCGAAACTTACGCATTTATCCTCTGGCAGACGCTAATTGCTAACACTGATTTTGTGTGCACTCATTCTCTATTTGTTTTAGTGAAGTGCTCCACTGTATTCCGAATCGCAATTCCCACTCAAATTAAATTTTCATCATCATCTGAAAGGTTTAGATTCGCTAGACATTCGCGGGTGAATAACTATTAACTAAAAAAGCCGCTTAATTATTGATCATTCACCACTAATATTACTACAGGAATGTCTCATATTTTATCAGTATCATGTCCCTTAGGCATTTCAGCGTTTCAGGTCAGTGGCGCTGAAAGTAAAATATAACTTAGATTTTAGTTCTTCTCAAGGTATTTCCTCTCGACTCAGAGAATGGGAACCAAAAATTGCGCGTTCATTTTCTGAAGCATGTGTGATTTCATTTGTTCAGGTGTTTGAGTTGGTATCTGCAGATCTCTGCTTGGCGACTGTAGAATTACTCACGCGGGGACAAACGTCCTCTCTCCTGAAGCAGATCGCTAAAAAAACTGGTATCAATTGGATTGAAACGAGTTCGACCTTTACAGTATCAGGAAGTATGAAACAAGTAGAAGTTTCTCGTGTGTACCTACAACAGGCCGTCAATCAATATGGTGGAATAGAGGAACTCGTTAGAGTGAGAAAGAAACGCGAACCATACTCAAACACCGAGGAAAGCGAATTTGGGCTTGGTAGCTCAGGTAACGAGGAAGAATTTGAGAGAACCGATAGAGCAAAGATTGTAGAGCAAATTCACTACCAGAACCAGGAACCAGATGCAACACAAACCAAGTACACGGCGCCATTCACCACTCCTGGAATCCAGTATTTTGAGGTTGAGCCAAAGTTAATAAAACTTCTTCTCAAAGCATACGAAGCAGACCTAAAGAGCATCGAGACCACATTCCACGTGAAGGTACCCAGAGAGGCTAATAAGGAGAAACAGATAGGCCTAGAGCCAGATAGTTCGTGTACCGTTGAAGAATACGACACCGCCTGCGACAAGTTTATCGCGTTGTATCAAAAAATGGTCCCTACTGTAAAGATGAAACGTTTCTCACTTAAGCAGAGCAAGAAGGTGATTGGTGCGCGCAGTAAAATTTCTGAAATGGGAAAAAATGTTCCAGTTTTGGTGGAGGTGGCTAAGGATCAAAAGCACTGGGAATTGTTCGGACAGGCACACGACTTGAGGGCTGCCCTAGATTTCCTTAAAAAAGAGAAAATAGAAGTAATCATGGAATCTGATAAGGATGCCGGGGGAGCAAGTGATCATGCCTACGAAGAACCGACAGGTGATGATTCACCAGACTCTTTCGAAGATGGCTTAAAGAAAGGTGCACTGGAAACATTTATCGGTCAGTGATTTCAATAAATGATACTTAATGACTACAGATTTCTTTGCTATTTGGGAATAGGGGTAGCATAATAATGATTCTGAAAAAGTAGTCTCGATTTCAATCAAGGATCCAGCGGAATAACTGGGATCACTTTTTGGTTTTCGTAACTAAAGGTTTTAACCTTTTATATTAAAGATTCTGTTGTAAAATTGATGTGTATAGCCATTGGCTGGTAAGCTGATTTTCCCAGGCTACCATTTGGCGCAGATTTGTTCGGACTGATGGCACTCAGAATGTTATAGTGTGAAAGACTAAATCTGAACCTTGTGCACGAGCCTTCATGGAAAACAAGGCTTTTTTTCGACTGTTGATTTACACATTGCCAGGCATTAAGGAAAACGCTTTATTTTAACTTTATAGGTAAATTTAAGGTTTCGGTCTCCCAATGCGATCTTACATGTGAAAGCGTTGATGTCATCGTAAACCCTACCAACACTCGGCTTCAACACGTAGGGGGAGTGGCTAAGGTCATACTCAAGAAGGGAGGAGAAACCATCGATAAAGAATCAAAGCGGATTATTAAGGAACGTAAACAATTGAAAGACGGTGACGCTGTCATAACAAGTGCAGGAATGCTACCGTGTAAGAAGATTGTACATGCTGTGGGACCAGATTGCCGAAATGTGGATTTGCCTCACGGTAAAAAAGTTCTTCGTCAAGCCTGTTTGAACAGTCTCAAAATTGCACAAGAAGCCAAAATGACCTCCATAGCAATGCCAGCAATTGGCTCAGGCGTTTATGAAATGCCAAAGGACGCTTGTGCAGAGATGATGTTTGATGCCGTTGACGAGTTCATCAGGAAGGGAGATCCTAAGAAGAAAACAATCACTGACATAAGGTTCGTGAACATAGATGACGCTTCTGTTCAAGCTTTTAGGAAAGAGTTCTTCACCAGATATGGCTATAACCAAGAGGGCGGACATGAATCTTTGAAGTCGCCTCTGTCTGGTGTTGAAGGTGCAACACGACTGTCGAGGCCAAGTCGTGGAAAAGGGAAGGGCAAGAACCCCAGTGGTCCAGCCACCAACCCAAGCAGTTTGGATGGAAACAATCACTACGGCACCGCTTCAGGCAAAACTGCTTTTAATGGTACTCATCCCTTAAGTGATTTCAGTGATCCGTCGTCTGTAGACCTATCGTACAGTGGCGCACTTAAGAAAAATGCTAATGGTAGCGGTGCGGATGGAAAGAAGGAATACTTTCTTCCTCCAGATGGAAGGGGGGGTACGATAGATGAAAAAAAAGAAGGTAGGATATACATTGTTACAAACAATGGTAGATCCCGCAAAATACTTTTCTTGTACCCTTAATAGAGCATAAGCTGGCTTTCCTATGTAGAGTCGAAGTATCGTATCATCTCCCACCGGCTTATTGTGAAAAGTTGTAAGTAATATTAATATTACAGCTAATTTTGCAGATTATTTTGTCGCGTTAACGAACTCTCGTAATTGCAACAAATTTCGAAACTTCCAATGTCCGTTGTTGTAATTTTTTTCCTGTTTAGAAGAATGTCCTATTTGCCTTGATGCCATAACTAAACCGAGAAGATTGAAATGCAGACACGCGTTCTGCACGGATTGCCTTCAAAAAGCGTTAGACACGAGCAACAAATGTCCAGTATGCCAAGAGCCACAGGGTGCTCTTCAAGGAAATCAACCACCTGGGCATATGGGCTTTCGTTTTGATCCCCGTTGCCATGTCCCTGGATACAAAGGTAATCCAGTTTGTTGCGCATCACCACAGTGGTACTTTAAACGTAAGCGCTATGAACGAAAAGGAAATAAATGTAACTTATGTATTACTCCCCAAAGCTCAACGTAATTTACCCACCCTGTGAGACATACTTCACAGAAGACTAAGGAAAAAAAATTCTCAAAACGGAAAAAGCTTATTTTGAAGAATACTGAGTCTTTCTCATAGAAGCGTTGCCTCAATTTTTTCCTTTGTAACGTGCAAGTTAAGGTAACTTTCGACTTGACATGGCTACTAAGTAACCCGTTGCAAAAATTTTCTGCGCTGTTCAAGGAGAAAATACTAAAAACTGTTGGAAATTGTGTAATGGAGATATACAAAAGTATAGATGGTTTGTGGCATTAATGTGTTTCTCTGTGCAGAACAAATTGCATGTTCAGAAGGAGGAAGGGAATAAGAAAAAATTTCTGATGTTTCCACTCTTATTAAAATGTTTTACTCTGATGTACGTTCTGCGGATTTTAAACATGTTGAAAGGTACCATATGCACCTGCTAATTGCTAAGTGTTGAAAATACTGGGCTGTGATATAAACATGTAAACATATGTTTCTCGCACAATGTAGGATGTGGCGCAATCATCATCGACTATCACTTTCCATCCGGAAAACAAGGACGCGAGCATCCTAATCCTGGTCAGTGGTTTGATGGCACATCAAGAACAGCTTATCTTCCGGATAATCGTGAAGGAAGAGAGGTGTTGCAGCTGCTAACGAGAGCTTTTGATGCTCGGTTGGTTTTTACCATTGGTACATCAAATACTACTGGCCTTTCAAATCAAGTAACATGGAATGATATCCATCACAAGACAAGCTTAAGAGGAGGACCTTCTTAGTAAGTAGACCTTTGATCACCTTGTACCACACGTGCGTGATTCAACCCGGTTATGTCAGAGAGGGTTGTCGGGGCTCGACACTAACGGTAGCCAACTAGCTACAGACTAGTAGAAATTCAGGTTTGGCTCGTGGTTTTCGATTTTCACCAGCCAGTTTGGCTAGTAAAAAACTGAAATTGTTGCGACATTTAAGTTGTCACTTGCCATTTGGCTAGTGAGTTGAAAAGTTAGTGTCGAGCCCTGGTTGTTTAGTCATTTATTCATTTGTAAGTTAATTGACGAGCGAGCCTACCGATATCTTTGTTTACTTTTTTACTTTCGAACTAAAAGTAATTTGGGCGTGTTGTTTCACTTGCAGTTTTGGATATCCCGACCCAGACTACCTCAAGCGAGTAAAGGAAGAGTTGGCTACCAAGGGAATCCGCTGATTGAAGAAAATCCTCGACTCTGCTTTGAAATCTAGTTTCACTTTTCGGATCTTTTGTATAGTGAGTTACTATTGAACCATGGCTGCAGTGGAATGCATCTCTTGTATGACAAAAATAATTCACCCACTAAGTTAATATTTATAGTTTTCATGCAAAATAGCCGTGGAATAAGAGTTATAAAGGATTTGCGCATAACGAAATGTTGCGAAGTCGACGAAATAACTTGTTTCAGTGTGGAGTAATAGTACTGATGAAAGGTGGAAAAAATTTCTTGAGTGACAAATTTAATGGATGGTATACCTCATCCTTTCAAGCTCATTTCAGGAATGTAGATCGAGTTATTTAGGTGCATTGCTTTGTCTGGTATATTTTACTTGTACTCTAACGTTGCTAAGAATCTGTGTTTATTTTACAGTTCATAGGCGCTGAAAAAATCTTTACATTCTCTTTAGAGGTCTGAGCAGAATTGATTTTATTGATATTTCTGTTAACAATTACGTCCCGGAAAAAGGTAGAATTATTGCATTATAGCTGTAAATGAAACCGTTTTTCTATAGTTTTGATTTCATCATATCATGGAATTGAGAAGTGTATGTCACTTATTAGGCACTCGTTTGTATAACATTTCGACATGGACAGGAATGTAAGGCTCTTTCTTTTATTTCATGTTACTGTACAAGCATGTTTGAGGTCATTCTCAGTTTTAGATTTAGTAGAGAAGAATGATCGTCATTTTAGCAGTGTGTGATTAAAACAAAATTAAGTAAAATCTTTAAAAAACTGAAGAAACTGGAGTTGCTGGTACTTCTATATAGCTCCGGGGGTAGTTATTGCAGTAGACGAATCATTAAAAAGAATTAATTCTGCTTTCAGAAGAACAGCTTGAAATCTGCTTCATACCTACAGATGTTTTTGAATTTCTTTGTTTGTACAGCGCAATAACATTTCAGGGAATCCTTACATATCCATAAGTTGTACAATGTGATATTCCTTGATCAATTCGAAGAAAAGTTGAAGGTGAGTTTCATTTGAGGTCGTAATCATGTGCACCAGGAGATGGACCTTGTGCTGATTACTATAAATCTTGTTGCTACAGCATATCGACAAGGCCCGACCAGGTCTAAGGAGCGGTCCATATATGTCTTTCCCTGTATTCCCACTTCGAGCTGTCGCATTAAGTCGTTTAACTGACAGGTTTTACGTGACGTCAGCCATTGCTTAAAGTTTAACTCGAAATTCAAATTCGAAGACTCGAAGCATCTCTTTTTGTCAAAAAGACCTCCGATTCCATCACTTTTAGTCTCCAAGTCAATGCCTCGCTCCCATTTCTACTTGTGGGTATTGATGTGATCGCTCTCTCACTAAATTACCGACTTTCCCTCTCTCTAAATGCGTGAATTTCCTTTTTTCATCTTAATTGGTCGTTTTCAAGTCAAGGATATCTATTTCACGCACCTCCCATTAAGTTTTGCTTCATTCTGTTGGCTAATTCACATCACATTTGCCCTCGAAGTTTCGCTGCTTGGCCAATTATTTATTTATCGGACAATATGTCAAACGCCGACATACCAGCCACCTTCAGGGGTTTGTTTATCATCTATCCTATGATCATGTAGATAGAGTAACGAATTTTAGGCTGGGTAAGCAAAGCGGACTCATGAGAACGTAGACCCTACAAAGTGCCGAAGCTTACAAGTTAACCTAAACCTCCATATTTTCTGTTTTATTTGTTCCTCGGAGGGTGGAAAGAACAGTTACATGGCATTTACTTTGTTTCCTCTCTGAAAGGAAAAAAAGGGCCAATTGAAAATTCAATCACGGCAAGGGTTTCACAGTTTGTGTTGCACCTGACCTCGTACCGCACGAAATAGCGTGCAGATCGAAGGGTCCTGCCTGGTTTCCAGTATACCCAGAGCTTACGCTTTTCCGAGAAAAGTGGTAAATGCTCAGTACCGTGACGCGTCTCTTCCAACTTGTTGAAAGCCATGGCTCAACAAAAGAGCGTGCTAGACGATATCGAAAGGAACTAGAATGCCTTGCGTGCCAGGAACAATTCAGTGAGGACAATGAACCGAAAATTCTAAATTGTCAACTTACGTTTTGTAAATCCTGTCTTAATGGCTGGCCACGAAAGCATAGCGGAGGAAGGTTGAACTGCCCAAACTGTCGAGTGATTACCGAATGTCCTGATAACAACGTTGACTGCTAACCCACCAACTTTGGATTTAAGAGTTTAGGAGAGATATCCTAAAAGCTCACGATGACTCAAACAACGATGATCATCGAGATATCAGATCACACGAACAGGATATCTGTAGGTGCCATAGAAAAAATCTTGAATATCACTGCGAACAGTGCCAGATTTGCATGTGCTCTGACTGCGTCATTGTCAAACATCGGGATCCAAACAATCACGAAATCGTGTCTGTAGAAGCATAGGAGGGAAGAAACAGGGAGAGATTATCACTGAAAAGTTGAGATCTATCGAAGCGAACACTTATTGTTTGAGGAGCGATATTGCTACTTTGGTGGAAAGGAGAGAAAAATTCAACACTAACATAGAACAAGCGGCGAAAGTGGTCGGTAAGGTGACTGAAAGCTATATAAATTTGATTCGCTAACATGAGGTAAGTGTGACGGTATAGCTGGCGAGAGAGAGATCGCATAACGATGATGCTATTTCCCAGGACTTGTCAAAGCTCACCGACAAACTGGAGAAAATGGCTAGCGTGGTAGAGCGGTTCTTGAAAACCTTAATATATACAAAATGATAAGTTTTGAACAAGTTCTCAAAGATCTTATTGCTGAGAAAGTCACACCACTGCTCAGATATACAGATTTAAAGTACGCCTCAAATGAAACCCCTCGAAATTTAACTACAGGAAAGCTGTGTATAGCTCCTACAGAAGCTTCTTTCAGTGTTTTTACTGCTGAAAGCCTGACAAGGGGTATTCAATCAGAGGAAGCTAATTTTATGGTAACAACAAAGGATGCAACGGGCCTGACAACTTACAGTGAAATTGACAAGGTCGCTGTTGAGGTTACATCTGTACGGAAGGGAATCAAAAACATTCCAGTTGTTATAAAGGACATGAAAGACGGTGGGTATTCCGTTTTCTACAGACCAAATGCTGTTAATTGGCGACTTCAGGGTTTTATTCAAAGTACGAGACGAGCCAATCCAAGGAAGTCCCTTCAAACTGCGAATTTAAAAATTCGGAAGCCTACTGTCTTGGGAGAGACTTCTAAATTTCAAGGTGAGTGTGGGAAATAAAATATGTAATAGTTCATTTTCTTTTTTAATCTGAAAACTTCAGCTTTTTAATCTGAGAACTTCAAGATTGTTACGTGACAGCATGACACTTGGACGTGTGCTTTTTAGCTCGTCTAACATTTTTATAGTTTTAGCGTTTTATCATCTTTGGAGTTCACATGGAACTTTGATACAGCATTACTATGATGATTCTAGCTTCTATACGGCTATTTCGACAGCCACCGGAAAAGATTCGTTAAATAATGTGTTCGATTGCCCTTGGTCTTGTGGCCGCCATCTTGTTTCCTCTCCACATGCAAAAGGCTGCAATACTATCAATACTATCTCGTCAAGGCTGCGATACTATGCGAATTCTACCAGCTGCTTCCAACAGATTCGACTATTTATTTCTGGCGACATCTCACTAAATCCTGGCCCGCTTACCAGGTCTCAGTCCGCAAAGTCTAAAGATATCTCAGATCGACTCTACCCAATTCTACATGGAGAACTGTCGTCTTTCAAAGGCCTTAAAATAGGCCACTTGAATGTAAATGGTCTTCTGAGCAAGATTCATGATGTCAAGGTACTATTACTCGCCTTAAAACTGGACGTTTTGGCCATCTCCGAAACTCATCTTCGATGCAAAACTAAGGATGAAGATATTTATATTCCTGGCTATAAAATCGCTAGACGTGACAGGTCGGATGGTCGGAAAGGCGGAGGATCTTTGATTTATTTTTCTGAAGTCCTAAATGCTTATGATTCAAGTGATTTGTCCTCTAATTCGTGCTTGGAAGCTACTTGGATCGATTTATCTTTTCATTCTCAGCGACTGTTGATCGGTTCAATCTACAGACCTCCTGACTGTTCGTCTTTCTTCAATGAGTTTCCCGTGGTAATGGAAAATTTATGGCGGAAACGTTCCAACATCATCCTATTAGGCGACTTCAATGTTAATTTATCGTCCTCGTGTGATGCTTCCTTGAAAAGAAAATTTACAAACCTTCTTTGTAAATTCAACTTAAAGAATGTTATTGATGTTCCCACCAGAATCACCGGCGATTCATCTTCTCTGATTGACTTGATTATTACCTCTGTTCCCTCCAAGATTTCTGGTCATGGTGCTTGCAATCCAGGAATATCTGATCACCACCTGGTTTATGCTTCTGTTAACTTGAGAAGGATTTCTATGAAACCTAAATTAAAGCTAGTCCGGGATTTTAAAAGAGTTGACATCAAAGCCCTACAGCATGAATTTGCTTCTGCCCCATGGTTTATCTGTGATATCTTTGATGATATCGACGATTGTGTTTGGGCATGGGAAGCCCTTTACAAGTTCATCATTAACGAACATATTCCTCTTAGAAAGGCTAAAGTTAGATCTAATAGTCTGCCCTGGATGTCTTCGCCTCTGAGAAAAGAGCTAAACAAGAGATACAATCTTCTTCTTAAAGCCCAAAAAACACCAAGAGGATCTCTTGAATGGTTTGCTTACAAGAAACAAAGAAATTATTGCACTAAATTGTTAAGGTCAGCTGAAATTTCTTACTGGAACAACAAACTTACCAATGCTAAATCCAGTGGAGAATTCTGGAGCTTAGTCAGATCCTTTCAAGGTGTCAACAAGTGCTCTACCATTGGCCCAGTGAAATCCCAATCTGGTTTACTTCTAACTGATAATTTTTCAAAAGCAAATGAATTCAACTCCTATTTTACCAATATATGTTCAACTCTGCCAAATAGATNTTTGTATTTATTTTCCTTTAAATGCATTGTTTGAGTTAATTTGACTGATACTAATATTTATATATATATATATATATATTTACTTACTTATCCTACCCGTATATATAATGTATTATTGATACGTATGATTATTCATACTAGGAGACGTATATATTTTTTAGCTGTTTATTAGTAGATAGCAGGTTCACATCAGCATTAGCTGCCATTTCCTCAACCTGCTTTACCAAATAAAGGATGTATTTATGTATGTATGTATGTATGTAGCAGTGACTCAGCCTGTTTCGGGCCATATCTATGACGTTGATATTCTTCCCTTCGCTAGTAGAATTCTGTTCAATAATTTTGAATAAGAGTTACAAGCTCGGTGTTGGCATCATGCCCTTTACTCCTCTCTGACTAGGACCCTCTCTAAACTACGAGAAGAAGTAGCATATTTTGCGGTTTGTTTGGACTAAGAAATCGTAAAGCTAAGAAGCTGCTTTGATCTATTTAAAAGTGTAGAGATGCCACCAGTTCATTGGTTCGCCCAGAAAGTAGTAGCGAAAGGAGGCAAAGAAGATATCAGAGGAGCAACAGTATTACTAGAAAAAAACTCGAAAACGAAAGTGTTGGAGAACAATGCAATCACTAAATTTTCCTAAAAACATATCCGAAGAATGTACACCCTTGAACAACCATATGATGTTGCGGTATCCGTGGAGAAATCGGTCGGACGCATAGTAGTGCATGGGCAAGCAAGCGTTTTTTTTTGACGTTGTTGGGGAGATATACAAGATCCTGCATCAAATTACAGAAGAAAAACGGAAGTGCAAGCGAGCAGAGATGCTAACAAAGGATATCGAATGGATGT